AAAAGCCAGTAGTGCTCTGAGGGGCGGTATTATATGCATAGGTGACGAAGGGTAGAATGGAATCCCAGTTTGTGTGATCGGCGGCGACGTACTTGGAGAGCATGTCGCCGAGCGTACGGTTAAAGCGTTGGGTGAGGCCATTCATCTGCGGGTGGTAAGCAGCAGTTTTGCGGTGAAAAATGTTGCACTCTTTGAGAATGGCTTCAACAACTTCAGACAGGAAGACGCGGCCTCGGTCACTGAGCAGTTCCTGGGGTGGACTGTGTCGCAGAATGAATCGTTGGAGCAGAAAGGAGGCCACATCGCTCGCTGTAGCCGCGGGGAGAGCCGCCATTTTGGCGTATCGCGTGAGGTGGTCCACAGGAACAATGGCCCAGCGGTTACCAGCCGAAGTTAGTGGAAGTGGCCCATACAAATCGATGCCAACGCGGCCAAAGGGCCTGGCACGGCAAGGTAGAGGTTGCAGACCTATCGGAGACAGGTGCGTTGAAGCTTTGCGGCGCTGACAATCTATGCAGGAGCGAACGAATTTCCGCACGTAGCGCTATATGCCGCGCCGAAAGTACCGTTGGCGAATGCGGTGTTAAGTCTTCGATACCCCGGGGTGCGCACATTGCGGATCAGAATGAAAGTATTCGCATATGTCAGAGCGCAGACTGCGAGGTATGACTAGTAGCCACTGGCGGCCGTCAACGCTGTAATTGCGCCTATGGAGGAGGTCGTCGCGAACGGCGAAATGGTGGGCTTGACAACGCAACGCGCGAGTGGATGGATCAGTCAGCAAGTCTATCAGTGAGGCAATCCATTGATCCTTGCGCTGTTCAGTAGCAATGGTATGAATGCTAATCGAAGAAATGGCAAGGTGAGACGCTGAGTTTTAGACATTGTCATCAGGCAAGGGAGAGCGCGACAGGGCGTCGGCGTCAGCATGTTGCCTTCCATTGCGATACAGCACGCGGATGTTGTAGTCTTGCAAGCGAAGTGCCCACCGGGCGAGACGGCCTGAGAGATCTTTCAATGACGACAACCAGCATAGTGCGTGTGGTCGGTGACGACATCGAATGGGTGATCATACAAATAAGATCGGAACTTTGTAAGGGCCCAGACGATTGCTAAACATTCCTTCTCGGTGACGGTGTAATTAGTCTCGGCCTTAGTAAGCGTACGGCTTGCATACGCCACGACATATTCCGGGAACCCTGGTTTGCGCTGCGCAAGGACAGCACTGAGGCCGACACCACTGGCATCCCTGTGTACCTCTGTAGGGGCCATACGGTCGTAGTGGCGGAGTATGGGAGGCGACGTCAACAAACGACGGAGCGTTGTGAAAGCGTCGTCGCACTGTGTTGACTACGAATGGAGAGGCCCGTCACTTCCGAGGAGTTTTGTCAGCGGCGATATGATAGTCGCGAAGTTTCGAATGAAGCGTTGAAAGTAGAAAAACAGCCCTACGAAACTGCGTAGTTCCTTGGCGGATGTCGGCTTGGGGAACTCGGTCACGGCCCGAAGCTTGGCTGGATCAGGGAGAATTTCGTGCTTGGACACGACGTAGCCGAGTATTGTCAGCTGCCGAGCTGCAAATCGGCACTTCTTTAGGTTCAGTTGCAGACTGGTGTTACTCAGACGCGTTAAAACGAGCCAAAGGCGTTGAAGATGCGTCGAGAAGTCCGGAGCGAAAACGACGTCACCGAGGTAGCACAGGCTCGTGTGCCATTTCAGGCCATGCAGAACAGTATCCAGCATGCGCTCAAGGGTGGCGGACGCATTGCACAGTCCACACGGCATGACGTTCGAATTCGTACAAGCCATTGGGGGTGACAAAAGCAGTCTTCGATCGAGCGTCCTCAGCCATAGGTACTTGCCAGTACCCTGATCGCAAAGCGAGGGATGAAAAGAAATCTGCTCCTTGCAGGTTGTCAATCGCGTCATATACCCGTGGTAGTGGGTACACGTCATTTCGAGAGATCTTGTTGAGGCGTCGGTAGTCCACACAGAACCACACAGAACTGTCCTTCTTCGTGACGATAACGACAGGAGACGCCTATGGGCTGCTAGAGGGTCAAATAACATCGCGGCGAAGCACGTCGTTGCAGTGGTGGCTGTGCGCCTGTGTCGATGCGATGCGTAACGGAGGATGTGCGGCCGAGAGAAGGTTGAGCAACATTGCAAGAAGAGGAATTCTTCCAACAGGCCCAGAAGCTGGGAACGCTGGCCTGGCGTAAGGTTGTCGGGAATGGAGGGACCGAATACATCATCGGATGATGAAGCAGAAGTCGAAACAGCACTAAGCATACTGGAACTTGAGCAGTGCATGTCATCAAGTTGATCCATAACTTGTGCGTCTTCGATGGGTTCCACGCTGCCGAGACATTCCCCTCGCACCAACGTAACGCTGTGCTGGGAAGAGTTCACAACAAAAATAGTGGTGCTGCCGTGAGTGAGTTGCACGGTCGCAAAAGGAACCAGCAAGCCTTTTCTGATGAAAACACGATAAGATGGCGAGAGAAGTGCAGCAGTATCAGAAAAGCTTGCGCCGTAGACCGACACCACCACGGACGAGTTTGCAGGCACTTGGGTGTTGTCTCTGACGAGTAACTTGCTTGCAGCAGATGGACTGTCGACCGGCGTCAAAGAAGAGAATTGAGTGAGTTCTATTCCTGCTGGTGCGCAATGAATGACGGCGTCGTGGTGGGAGAGAAAATCCCATCCTAGGATGACGCCCTGAGAGCATGAAGGAATTATGATGAATTCGACCGCATACATCACGTCCTGAATCATAAGGCGGGCTGTACACATCCCTGTAGGGTGAATGCTTTGGGCGCTGGCTGTATGGAGGGAGAGCCCGGAAAGTGGTGTGGTCACTTTGCGCAGTAACTGGCTAAGTTTTGCGTCCATGACAAATACGGCGGCTCCAGTATCTACAAGGGCAGATGCATGAATGCCATCCACAAGTACATCTATCACGTTCGACGGGCTTTCCTGAGGGCTTCCGCAGTTTGACAGCGTCGCAGCCCTTGCCTCATGAACTGCGACGACTAGTTTTCCTGGTCGCCCTCAAGTGGACGTGGCCGCATTGGCGACAGTGAGCGACGTCGCGGAGATGGTGAACGACGAGTAGACGGAGTGGGGCAGGACGACGGTGACATAGGCAGCGGTTGTTCATAAGAGCGGCTTGATTGGCTGGGAAAGTTGGAGGCAACCTGCGGTTGCAGCACATGATTGCAATAGTGTGCTACGTGATCGACGCAACCACAAGCAACGCAGATGGGGCGATTGTCAGCAGTGTGCCATCGGTTCGCGGGTCCCATCCATGTCACAGAACGCAATGGGCGAGCCGGCTGTTGATATAACTGCATAGTAGGCGGCCCACGGGGCACGTGGATGACGTCAGCATATGTAGGCGGCAAGGTTTCTACGAAGTCCTGGGGCCTGGCGATGGTTTCCGTGTAACCAAGGGGGCCAATCACAGGAATCGGTGGGGTGGCCTGGCGACAACTTGGGCGTAACTGAGTGGTGTAGATACTGGAGGCGGCTGGTGGTATTCAGGAACGACCTCCGCGATTTCCTGCTGAGTGGCTTGGCGGAGGGGAGGCATAAGTGTGCTTGACGGCTGTTGAGCACGTTGCGGGGAAGCAAAAGCCAGTAAAGAGACCTGGCGGGCAACTTCCTCACGCACGAATGTCTTGATTTCAGTGAGCAAGGTGGTGTGGTCAGGAAGTGTTGACAAGGCCGAGAGATCAGCGTCACGTGGTGGCGGTCGACGGGTCATCAAGCGCTGCCGCCGCAGCTCATCGTAACTTTGGCATAATGTAATGACTTCTGCCACAGTGCGAGAGTTCTTGGCCAGGAGCATGGTGAAGGCATCGTCGGCGATGCCTTTTAGAGCATGCGTGATTTTGTCAGCCTCTGGCATGTTCAGGTCGACTTTCTTGCACAAGTGAAGGATATCCTCGATGTAACTTGTGAGGGACTCGCCGGTCTGCTGCGCTCGTTCACGTAAACGCTGTTCGGCTTGAAGCTTCTTTACAGCGGACTTTTCTACCGTTCCAACTTCAATAACTTCAAACTCAAACATCGGCACACTTTCGGGACGAGAACGGCGCGCCACGGATATCAACATACCAATTGGCTGGGCCGCCGATCTCCTGTCGGTTAACGATCAATTATGCCTTGAGGAAAAAAAAATGCCACCTGCCCACAGCAAGCATGGCCTTACATTTTGGGGCGCCAACGCTGCTCTGGGCGGTCGCTGCATACCGAGCTTGGCCGGAGGGTTCGCTGCCGATGCGCAGTATGCCCATGCGCGCTTTGGAAGGGCCAGCGGGCGATGTAATTCGTCGCTGTCGACGACATTACAGTTTCATCGCTTTCGTATGTCCGCTAACGCGATGGTCCTGCCTGCAAATTTCGTAGCAAAGTTATGCTTAGCTGCAACTATGAGCAGAAATCTCGGTTGCGATGTGCGATGCTGCAGTGCTTGATGTTTCAATGTTTGTCATGCTCGATTACGAGTATAAAGAGTTGTCTCGCGGTGGTTTTCATCCCAAAGTCTGAGTGCTGATAATCAGTGGGTGCAACTAGACACTATTACAGTGGGTTCGAGACGCAGGTCTCAGATGTTCGCGACAAGTTCGGCGTGCTATTGCGTAACATAATAACTGAACTTCAATTTGCAGCTGTCTTAACTACATTGCGTACCATGAACACATAAGGAGTACGAAAATACCAGTAAGTAGTGCGATTTCCTACGGCTGTGTCATTTAAAAGCTATGATTTCTTGAAATTTGTGTTTGTTTGCTTTCTTGTCACTTCCACAATAATTTTCACCACCTTGGCAAAGTGCAGAAATATTTTAGAGGACTTCTGTATAGTTCTTCCGTGACAATATTTTGGAATCGGATAGAAAAAAGGCTAATGAAACTGAAGATATGATTTAAAAAAATGTTTTATGCCCCATTGAGAATACATCCACAGTAATTTTCTCCCGTTATAACAGACCCACACAGTGTTTTTGTAAGAGTGTTGTAAAAAGAGTTGAATTTTACATACTCCTTTTACAAGACCAAAATCCTCCTCACTATGAAGGTCTTTTGTATTGAGGTTATGCAGTATTAGGAAGAAACCTGCACTGCTGCCAAGTTATACTTCAAGGTTAAACGTAAATATTATCAGTGCCCAAATTGCCTGAAGTTTTAAGGCATGTTATATGCACTCAGTATAGCAAACTTTAAAAGGTAGCATATTTCACCACTCAAAACTAGCACCTCGATACTATTCAAAGTTGTGTTCACTTTGCTTCAAACCAAAACATTACATTCACAAGCTTAGTTCTAATCTCTTTTCATTGTACATTACCAATGTTCGTTTTCGCGCCTCTGTTTGCATGCCACAAGTGTCGAATATTGGGCAAGTTGGTTCGTCGTACTTGAACTGGTACAGCGCATTATGGTAAAAAAGAAATGGCCAAGCAGACCGACACAAGATGATAGAGGTTAGTGCTTTGTTTTTTTGTGTCGGTCTGCTCGACCATTTTTCTTTTAACCGGAATGCACTATCCCAGTTGTTTGCATTATTGTCCAAACCTCCCCAATAAAAATCCTTAAAAATATTGTGCAAGTTTGTTGGGCCATGACACCAATGCTTATTTTTCTGTATGAATATTTAAAATTATTCCACAAATATGACTAGTATTTGACCATGCCTGCTGAGAGCTTTAGAATGTCAGCAGAAACCAACTTTTCACAGCAATTCAAGAAGCAGCTGGAATGAAATAACTTCAATAACTTATTGTCTCGTTCATTACCCGAAGGCAACTTCCAATCAACATGACTATTTTATAATTGCTACCCCTATATATATATTATTCATTGCAAACAAGGTATCCCCCCCACCCCCATTGGTGCAGCATGTACTTTTCTCGAAGGCCTGGCATTGAGTGACATTGTGCGATTGTGCTTCTCACTGCCATGATGTGAGAAGTTTCATTTCCTTTGAGAGCTGATGGCATGTTCTGAGCGTGGTCTTTAAAGCTCTCCCGATTCCAGGCAACTCTTTTCAATGATAAAACATGAAGTGGCATTATTTCTGTACAATTTCACTTTGAGGACAGAATAAGTTTGGACGAGGCGTGTCATTTCAGTCACTGAGCGTCACAGATAAGATTGCGAGGCACTGTCTGGTGACGGCTAGCTGTTGCTGTAGTACCGGGACACGCTGAGATCGAGCGGCCGGTCGTCAACGTCGATTGAGAAGGGACTGGATGGAATCTTCTCCATCATGGCAGTGGGAGCGCACCCGTGGCCTTTGTTTGAAAGCTCGATGAGGGCGAGTGCACCAATCATGTCGCGCCGTGACGATGGTGCCAACTTCTTTTGGAGCAGTTCTTCGGAGTCTATGCGTGCTTGGGCATCCAGCTCACGTTTCAGCTGCCGTGCCTTCAGAAGTGCCGTTCCGTTGTGTGCTTGTGTCGAGTGCCTGTGAGAAAATGCAAACAATTTACAGTCAACCTCTACACAGCTAATTTTAACTTGCTGTTCTGTTAAAGCAAAAAGGACTTTCTCTAGGGATTTCCATAAAAAATGTGGCAAAGAGCAGAAAGTGAAGTGTATTTTAGACTCGGGCATACTTAAGCTGGTAAAGACAGCCGCACGTTACTAGATAAGCTTCCTGAAAAAAGTTAAGAGCTCCAACCGCACTACTTATAAAGCTTCACTACAACAAAAAATTGCAATATCATCTAACCTTGGACAACTTGCCATTCGACATTGCACAGGCTAACCATATCAGCTTTAAACGATTTGGTACAGAAAAAAAAATTATTGTGTCTCAACTACAATTTGATCATTCATAACGTAAAGTAATACTGCAACGCACAATCCACATTATCACTTTTGTTTCATTCGGTTTTTGACTACACAGCCTGTCACGAATGCTGAGCACAAACTGTGCCTCATTGTTCGAGAAAGGTTCCCAATTATTCTAGATCGTTCAGCTAAGATTGCATGCAAGACGCGCACGCTCGAGATTCTAGAGCTTGCACGACAACCAGTGATAAGGTTGGAATATCCAACGGCACAGGTATACTGTATCTACTCGCATAATAAACACACCTCTAACTTCACTCGAAATTCAGATTTTTCTTTTTCTCACTTAATGTAAGACACGGGCAGCAGTTCCCTTTAAAATACTATATCATGGATCCAGGCGCAACTACTGCACAGGCAGCAGTTTCTAGAAATTAAGCAATGCTCATCCGTTGCGCGCCATGTCACCTCGAGCGTGCTGCAGAGGCAGCGTACTGGGACTACTCTTATTCTTGATCTATATAAATGATATCTCGGAAAAACTCCCTAGTGACGTGCATGTAAACTCATTCGCGAATGACTGTCATATTTAAAAAAGTAACCTTGAAGAATAATCACCAAAGCTTGCAGCAGTAAGTCACAGCTATTACAGAGTGATGTAGAATAGAAATAAATTTACAAAAAAAAAAAAACAGTTTTGCTGCGAGTAACACGAAAAAAGAGAACCTAGCATATTCTCTTGCGTTCTTAATGACATCATTATAATGAAAGTTGACCAATACAAATACTTAAGCATCAAGTTTAATAACAGACTTACTTGGTCGGATCATATTTATCTTACATGCTCTGCAGTCGTGACAAATTCTGGTTTTTGAAAACAAAGCTATGAAAAGCCTTGGCGAATACAAATCTTTTAGCATATACCACAATTGTGTGTTCCAAATTTGAATATGCGGTAGTTCTATGGAATCCTCATACCAAAAAAAAAAAAAAAAAAAAAACACCAGGCCTGTGCGGAAGGTGCAGCACAGTAGCAGAGAAAGCTAGAAGAGCGGCCTTTCAAAGTCTTTTCTAAACCCTCATTGACTAACTGCTGCAAGCACACTTGCTCGATGCCCACCACGGCATTAATAATGAAAATTTTAGGGTAGTAGGCCGGCATTCGCTATGCTACTTCGTCATTCTTCTGAAAAGCATGCTATCCGCTAGACTATTGCGAGAAATTTTGTGCGAATTGTTTATGCAGTGGCGGAGGACGATTAATTATGCCTGAAGTGGGCATGCGCCACAGTTAATAGGGAAAAAAGACCAAGCTTTTGTAATGGGTTGGAGCATTGGACGGCCCACTCGTTACGTTATTCCCATTGCGCTACGACTGGTTGTTCTTTCGCCATTTGGAAACACTTTATAAGTCGTATTAATGCGATTGCTTTCCCGACATCAAGCCTGCCTAAAGCAAGTTTGCCAACAAGTCCCAAGCACCGGCGTAGCTCAGTGGTAGAATGCTGGGCTGGCACCCAATGGACCCGGGTTCGAGCACCACTGTGCCATTGGTGCTAGGTCATGCCTGCCTAAAGCAAGTTTGACAACAAGTTATAAGCATTGGCATAACTCAGCGGTAGAATATTGGCCTGGCACGCAGCGGACCCGGGTTCAAGTTTGTTTTACTGCAGATGTCGGCAGCGTGGTATTGTTTTATAACCTTGCTCGCTGCCGCATCCGTATAGTTTTTCTATTTGTGCGCAGCATGTACGCAGTTTCTTTAGGAGCGAAGCTCCTTAAGGCGTGGGCTGTGCGTCTCCTGTATGTAGCCACCTCTCGTTCAGTTCTTGCAGTGTTCACTAGATGGCGGTACTTGTAGCTGACGGCATCAAGTATTACGCTAGCCACCGCCCGATCTAAAGGGTACAGCCATATCCATCCGTCCGTCTGTCCATCCGTCCATCCATCCGTCCGTCCGTCCGTCCATCCATCCAAAAGATGCAAGATGTTATAAACTAGACGGCGGTACGTGTAGTTGATTATGAAAGATGCGAGGTGTTATAAAATAGGAATGATGCTACATATGGCGCGTGTCATCGTTCGATATAGTGCGGCGACGTACGCTAGGGGGAGCGTTGCAATAAAATCGAGTGGGCAAAATGTACGGAGGATTCATGGTTTACCAGGTTTACCTCCGGAGCTTCGCCCACTCATCATCATTCACTTCGTGGATGTGGCGGCACTTTTTTAAAATATCTATGCGCCACAGCGGGGTGGTTCACAAATGATGCGAGTGTAGAGACATCGCAGCTGACAAGCACACAGCGAGCTAAGGTCATGAAACTGCCTGTGCAGTAAAACAATTAAGAGAAAAGATAGCTGCGAAAGGTTTTTATGGCATGCACGGATGACATGGGAATAGCTTGCACAAGATAGCGCCTTCAACCACTGAAGATGAGTGAAGTGGAACAAAGAAGCTGAGCGAACAAATTTTTTTTAAACGAAATGGTCATTTACTACAAATACCAACCACATGTACGCAATTTTCGAGCGACAGCGACAGGATTTGCTGTCGTTGTGGGAGTCATGAAGGGCGATTTGTTGGCATTGCGGCGCAGGTTTCTGTAAAACCAGAAAGTGATCTTCCAAGATTGTGACTATTTCCGCAACATGGCCCCGATTCCACCTTTGGTTGCAAGCAAGGTGGCCACCATACTCTGTCAATCTCGTTATTGACAGTTTGTTTTGATGCTTCAGTGTTAGCTTGCTACAATGTCAACGGCGTAATCGCGGATGTCTTGCTAAGTTGCCACGAAGTTGGCAAAGTGCGACGTGGCATTGTAGCGCACGCTTCTGGGAGCCCTTCGAGATCACAGCAGATACCACTGTTGCGGTTAAACGATTCAGAGAAATGATAGCTGCCAATTACTTTTATGGTGTGCATGGGCGGTGTGGGAACAGCCTGCAGAATATAGCGCCTTCAACAACCCAAGATGAGTGAAGTGCAACAAAGACGCTGAGCGAGCTAACTTTTTTCTGCACTGCCCCATTTTTTTGCACGTACCAAAAAAATTTGCATAAAGTTTGCCCAACATAATAAAAGCACCCCAACTTCGGTCCGATTTTCAAGAAAAAAAGTGCGTTCATTAAGGGAGTAACCTAAGGGAGTAAACTAAGTAACCTCAACCTTGATAGAAACGTGCTACAATGGATTGAATCATTCCTTACCCGCCGCACCCAATTTGTTCATGCTAATGGCTTTAACGCTTCTTTCAGCGAAGTGCGCTCTGGGGTCCCACAAGGATCCGTCCTAGGACCCCTTCTATTTCTTATCTATATTAATGACCTCCCTTCAAAATTGTGCTCTAATATTCATTTGTTTGCAGACGACTGTGTGATATTTCGTACGATTAATAATAGTGACGACATTAGAATCCTTCAGTCTGATCTAACCGCTGTTTCTAACTGGTGCCAAACTTGGCTGATGGAATTAAACATTAACAAATGTAAGGTTATGCACGTATCCCGCAACCCCAAGCATCAGTCAACTTATTACCTAAACAACATAGCTTTAGAACTAGTTACATCATATAAGTACCTTGGAGTGCACATTACAACTAACCTCAGCTGGTCAACACATATTGAACATATCATCAACAACGCTAACAGCATGTTAGGGTACTTACGCCGCAATTTTTCTAGAGCCCCATCGTCACTAAAATTATCGCTTTATAAATCCTTAATACGCCCCAAGTTAGAGTACGCAGCATCAGTATGGGATCCAAGCCAAGAAAATCTAATCGCTTCTCTCGAGCTTGTTCAAAATAATTCCGCTCGCTTTATCCTGTCAAACTATAACCGTACTGCCAGCATATCTTCAATGAAAAGCAGCCTTTCCCTTCCCTCTTTATCATCACCCAGGAAACTTTTTCGGTTAACCATGCTGCATAAAATATATTATCATTCCTTCCTGCGCAACGAACTCTTACCCCAACCACTATACATTCCCATTGCATTGACCACCGTCACAAGGTTGGCATTAACTATTATCATACAAAATCTGCCACTCAGTCATTCTTGCCTCGTTCGTCCCGTGAATGGAACCACTTTCCCGCTGAAATTGCGGGTATCACCGATAACCAACTGTTCCGTGCTGCCTTAGCCAATATTGTATATGCAGAAATATCTAATGTTTAATCTGTGTTTGTGTGACCACATTGTTGCGATAATACTAATTTGTTTTGTCTTTCCTTTTCCTTTTTATGTACACAACGTTTTTGTAACCATGCTACCTCATGTTATGCCTTTGTTCTGTACCACTCCCCTCTGTAATGCCTCTGGCCCTGAGGGTATAATAAAATAAATAAATAAATAAAAATAAATGCGGTATATGCAGACGTGCTTTGCCCCTTGTCAGTTGATCCACATTCTCTTTGCCTTTATTATGCCAGTGTGCATCACCGTAATGTGACGTTTTGTCTACAAGCTGCTAGTTCGGCCGAATAAGCAGTTTCACCTGAAAACCCAGTCTGCTCCCTTCATCGAAGTCACTGCCCTGTGACAATATTATAGTTATCCAAGCCTCTGTGTGGTCTGAAATATACTGTGTTGTGTAAAGAAACGTGCACGCTCACCCTTTGAGCCAGCAAGTCACAGCCTCACTCTGGTTTTCACAGTTCGCTTGCATGTCCCCTGCGTTTCCAGCCACTGCAGTGCTTGCATCATCTCGACGAAGCACGGCAAACGGATGGGCATTGCAGCGACGGTTGGAGTGGGTGAACCTCTGGCCACATTCTGGAAGCGAAGAGGATGTTGAAATAAGTATGCAACACACTAGCTGCTCTGGTGTGTTATCATCTCTTGTTATCTGCACCTTACAGAGTGCCTCAAAGTGATGGCATCCACAAGATGCACTGAGGTTGTTCGAGTGTCACACTTGCCTTAAGGATCTCGTGAGTTGTCTCAAAAGTAGTCTGGTAGTTGTTCAAGTTAAACAAAGATCAAAACAAAAGATGACCTTAGTTTGCTGGCCAAACTACACAAGTCAGCAACCAGGGTCCCACCGCAATCGATCAATTTTGGGACCCTCGTCTGCATACTGCTAACCATTACCTTTGTATTTTAAGCATATAATAATTTGAAACTGAAGCTGCTGTGTACATACACAGCAAATGCATTGTGCCGAAGAACTTTTTCTGGACTATCTCATATTTCTCCACTCAGGACTGTGAACTGTTTAGGAGACAGCGATGCCACAAAAAGTAGGCTTCTAAAATGTCCATTACATTCTTCTGCATCTCGAACTGTTTCTCAGAGATCTCGTGTCTTTTTTTTTTCACTGACTGCCCATCCTACTTCTCGCATGCAGCAAACACTAAAAACATAAAATGTCAAGGGACTGGTTATTTTGTCCTTCTAGATTCAGTTGGTGCTGGCAAAGTTGTTGATTAACATGTACCCTACTAGAGTCATTACAGCCAATTCTGTACAGTTACACAAAAGTTTTGATGTTAAATTGCAAGACATTAGAAATGAGGAGATATGACACAACTGTGATGAAGATGTATTTGTTTTGTTAGACTACACTTGCAGAACATGATCACCCCCCCCCCCCTCCCAATACCAGTTGCTTCTGTGATCATCTTGTTGTGGCATAGTCCTTGTCATCTTCAATGTTATCGTGCATATTTCTGACGTGATGATGATGATAAGTGGGTTATTGTGGTGCAAGGGCCATGCTTGACCAAAGGGCACCATGAACATTGATGAACGAAGAGCGATTTTTCGTCATTGAAGTGATATGAACAGGATATGAAAAATGATAATGTTACACGGTTCTAAAGGGGCCTAAAATTCCACACAGTGAGGTGGATTAAAAATCACAAGTATTAATATCATGGTTGTGACGTCAAACATGTGAAGCTAGAATAAACGAGTTTTGGTGGTGAGGGCCATCAGCCGCGACCTCTACAAAGGTCGAGCTACGGATCACCTAATAATATAGAGTGAAAACTATGTACATCTTTTAAGAACGTGAACAGTGATCGGGAATTAAAAAGCGCATCTCTACTAATGGGCATGACAGGATGTAGTGGAAGCTGCTGTCAGTAAGGTGGTGCTTTTTTCTTGGAGCATCTAACTCATTGCACTGGACAAGGATGTGCAGAACCATAAGTGGTTCTCCACATCTCTCACAGACGGGTTGGTCACCACCAAAGAAAAGGAATGAATGTGTAGTATGTGTGTGTCCTATCCGTAGCCTGGTAAGTGTTACTTGTGTGTAGCCAGCCATTATTCAAATCTCGATTTGATAACATGCAACTTGTTTTCCGTTTGCCCATCCCATAAGTGCTGCCAACACGACCTAAGCTGCCGTCGAAGGAATGGCTTCATGTCAACTGCAAGGACAGCCATGGATGTATTGGCGGCTGCGTTGTCGTGCGCAGGTGGAGCTAGCTAATCCGCCGCCACGTTTCCAGCAATCTCGCGGTGCCCTGGCACCCAGCACACTACAACATGTCGTTTAAAAGCATAGATATTGCATAATAGGGAGTAAAGCGACACAAAAACAGGATTTTTATGTTTTTTGAGTGTTTTTAAAGCTGTTACGACACTCAGCGATTCTGTGTATACAACCACGTGTTGCAGTTGTGATTCCTTAATATGCTTGACAGCCACAGATATCGTATAAGCTTTTGCGGTGAAAATGCTTGTTTTGGGGAGCATCATACCGAAATTTGAAAAGGATGGGCCAACAGCTGCATAGGACACACCAATGTAATGATGATGTATGATGCTTTAAGGCGCAAGGGCCATATGATGGCCAGAGAGCACCATTTCATGAGACAAGGGATGTGGGCAATGGTTATGGTAGACGGCCATATAAGGGCCTTAAAATTCCATGCAATGTGGCGGGTAAAACATAGCAGTATTATAATTATGACAGTGACGTGAAAGGTGTCTAGTGAGTATGGGTGGCGAAGGATCATGATAATAAAACTATGGTGATAATTGGCATTAGCACAAATGCCTCTTGAACGCCCTTGTATACAAAGGTCAAGAGGCATGTGCTGTGTTTTTGTAATAACTGCAGCAGCGACTTCTCTTCAGAGGTCGTGCTACGAATTCCCTGAGTAAATCACTTGAAAATCTTGCACCTGTTTTAAAAATAACAGCAATGACTCAAGTTTGAAAAGTGGTTCCCTACCGATGAACATTGCAGGGTGGAATGATATTTGTTGTTGATAGCGTAATGGGAAGCACAGTTTGTGCTTCACCACATCTCTCACACAATGGCGGATCATCACCAGACAAAAGGTATGAGTGTGTCGTGTATGTGTGTCCTATCCTTAGCCGTGTTAGTGCAACTTGTGTGCGGCGTGACTTCGATACTGCTGGCCACCGACCGAGTTGGGGCTCGGTAACATGCAGTTTACTTCATGTGTGTGTATCTCATGTGCGCTGTCAAAAAGCCCTGAGGTTTAGTTTGAGGGGAGGTTTCAGGTCGAGTGCAGGGATCGCCATTGTTGTGTTGGCATTGGTTGGCTTGGCAGATGCAGCCAAGTGGTCCGCCAATTCGTTTCCTTCTATCTCGGGGTGTCCTGGCACCAAGCACACTTTGACATGCTGTTTGAGTGAGTATACTGTGCATAGGAGCGAGTAAATAGATACAAGAATGACATTTTCGTGCTTTTCCAGGGTATTGAGGGCTTTTATTACGCTTAGGGAATCTGTGTATATCACTGCGCTTTGTAGTTTTATTTGTTTAATGTGTTTAACAGCCACAAGTATCGCATGCGCTTCTGCAGCATACGAGACAGAATATTTCATCTTTGAGGCATCTTTGAGGCATCTTTGAAGAAGTGTTCATCTTTGAGGACAACTGTATTTGTGTTAAAGTTCATGAAAGTATGTGCAGATGTGTGCAACAGGCGCATGCTTTGTGACTTCCGCAAAAGATATGTCACAGTCCAGAAGGTGCCACTGCCATGGCGGCAGATATGCAGCAGGAGCCATCAAACAGTGTTCTAGAAGTGGCACATCTGTTTCCTCAGCGAGGCCTCTCACACCTGAGTAGGGCTGCCTCAACAAAGGACAGCTGTGGAACAGGGCAGAATAAGACCGATCATTGATAGTGAAATGAGAGGGGTGTTCTTTGTCTGTGTTCACCATGAGGTAGTACAAAAAAGATGCGTAACATCTTTGTAAGTGGAGTGACCACTCATTCAATTCCACATACAGGCTTTCCACATGACTAGTACAGAAAGCACCCGTAGAAAGGCGAATGCCTAAATGGTGCATGGGGTTCAGCATCTTCAAAGCACTTTGAGTAGCAGACTGATAAACAACGGCCCCATAGTCTAAGCGGGTGCGAATGAGGCTTCTATACAAATTGAGGAGACATTGCCTGTCACTACCCCTCGTATAATGTGGTACTTTTAGAACATTCATGGCTTTTACACATTTTGTTTTTAAACACTGGATGTGCGGTATGAAGGTCAACTTGTTGTCCAAGATTAGGCCTTAGAAATTATGCTTGGCTTTAACAGACAGGCGTTCATTGTTCAGTTGAATATCAGGTTCTGAGTGCATGCCTTGCCTCTCTTTCGGGAGAAGAACAAGACACACATGCTTTTTTGTGGGTTCAGTCGGAATCCCTTCCTCTGCCCATTTGGAGACCTTGTTTAAACCTAGCTGAACCTGCTGCTCACACATTGCCAGGTTGCATGACTTAAAGCCAAGCTGGACGTCATTGACATATGTACAATAGAACATATTGTGAGAGATGGACAGCTGCAAGGAATTCATTTTGATAATAAAAATTGTACAACCAAGTACACCACCTTGCGGTACTCCCGTTTCTTGGACTAATGTTTGGGAGAAAACACTGCCCACACGGAATGTCCAATTAACTCGATTATGGAAAGCATTCCATCGCGCACACCCAGGTGAGACAAGTCTTTCGATATGCCAAAATGCCATGTTGTGTCGTAAGCCTTCTCAATATCGAGGAACACAGAGAGGAAGTATTGTTTGTGGAGGAAAGCGTCTTGGATCTCTGCCTCAATACGCACCAGATGGTCGGTGGTGGATCTACCCTCTCGAAACCCACACTGGAATCGGTCGAGCAGATTGTGTATTTGAAGGAACTGTAAAAGTCGGCGGTTTATTTTTTCAAGAAGTTTACAAAGGCAGCTTGTAAGTACAATGGGCCTATAACTTGAAACTGAGGAAGGGTCCTTGCCTGTTTCAAAATAGGGATAACAATAGCCTCTTTCCAGGAAGTAGGGATGGTGCCAGAAATCCAAATAGCATTGCATAGCGAGAGTAAAGTTTTTCGAGTTTTTTTCGAGTTTTGAACATTTCATACAAGACACGGTCGTAGCCTGGGGCAGAATTACTGCAGTAGTTTAGTGATGTTTGTAGCTCAGCTAATTTGAAAGGTTGGTTGTATGCCTCGTATTTTGTGCACTTGTGTTCTAGTTTCTGCTTTTCTATCCTTGCTTTATATCTTCAGAAAGCTCCAGTATAGTGTGACGAGCTAGACACCTGCTCGTAGTGTGCACCGAAGAAGTTCGCCTGATCTTCCAGGCTGTCACCCTGTGTGTTTACAAGTGGGAGTGAATGTACTTGTCTTACTGTTACCTTACCAATCATAATCCAGACTTTAGCCCCTTGTGCATATGAATTGATTCCTGATAAAGACTTGTGCCAGCTTTCTCTTCTGGCCTGCCGACGTGTTCTCCTGACTTGAGACTTTATTTTCGTCAAGATTTTCGTCTGTCTGTGACTTC